CGGACAACAGGTGTTATTCATATATTTACCCCGAATCCCTAGCACAGGGCTCAGAACACAGTAAACACCCATGTGCTTGGTAAGCAAATGAACTGGATATTGCAATGCAATTAATGCCTAATTTGCCCTTTCCTCCCTATTGCTCACCCATAGAATCTGAACTAACTTCAGTGAGGACTGGCCCCACCCTAAAAAAAAAAAAAAAAAAAGTCCGGAGGCACTACAGGACCAAGATAGGTCTCTAAGCTCACAGGCCCTTTCGGGAAGCTGGGTGTGGCAGATAAGGAATGCGTGGGTCCAGTGGGGCCAGCAAACACAACAAGGGCAGGCCGGGCTAAGTCTGAACAGTCCGCCTTGGCTGCACGTCAGTAATGAGGTTCTGTTCCCTGGGCTGGCAGGGCCCTCCTGGAGGAAGGCAAAAAGTGGCCATGGAAGTGCGAGACTGGGAGCTTTCCTCCAGCATTGTCTTGGCAGACTTTCCAGTTCTACCTGCTCAGCCTCCCTCTCCCTCCCCCACCCATCTGTCGGCCATTCCGAGGGAAGACGGCCAGCTGGCCCAAGCATTAGCCACAGGGAACTGCCCAGGGCTCCCTCCGGAGGCCTGGCATCAAACTTCCTGCCAGGCAGCTGCTTCCTACTGTCCCACCCCCCACAAATGACACAAGTTGGACTTTAGACAGAAACTCTGCTATCAGGCTGTCACAGGCGGATGAACTCTGGATTTCAGATGCCTGGAAAACCCCACTCATAGGGGTCCACTCATCTGCCTCCCCCAATCCCTTCTCACAGCCCTGAAACCTCTTCCCCGGTGCATTTGACCGGCCGTTGGTCACCTAGGTCTTTCCTGAGCCTCGGAAAAGGAAGCAGGTTTGAGTTTAGAGATCCCCAGGGCCTCTGCCCAGTGCTGCCGAATGTGAAAAAAACAGGCCTCACCATTTCCTATCTTTCACATAAAAATGTGTGTGACTTTTAAATCTATCTTGGGAAGAAGGGGGTATCGGCCATGTCTGAACAAAGGCCGACACCCCGTGAACTCAGTTGCCTAGTGTGTGTGGAAGGTGAAGTGGAGGATGGAATATAGGGGCCAAAGCCAAAACATCCATGATCTCCAGGATACAGTTATACAAAATACGCAATAGTGCAGTGCTATGTATATAAACCCATTGCCAACCATCAATGCTGACTCAGTATTACTATACTGCTACAGGACAGGGAGAACGGCTTCACAGCATTTCCAAGGCTGTAAATCTTTATAGAAGCAGACAGCCACCTATTTCTCCATCAAAGCAGCTGGTCAGTTCAAACCACCAACCTTTGGTTTTGCAACCAAGCGCCTAACCACCGCACTGTCCGAGCCCTCTCTAGTGTATACAGTATGCTTCTTTGTGTGAGGGGGCGGGGGGACAGATATTGACAGACACTTGTATCTGTATAACCAAACAACAGAAAGATACCTAAGAAAAGAGGGGGGAAAGGATGGGAAAGAGTGGGAATAAGAAATTCCACCCCCTTTAATATCATTTTGATTCTTAAACCACATCCTATTATAAATAAGGGCGTCCTGGTGGCGAAGCCATTACACATTGGGCTGCTCAGTGCAGAGGCAGCAGTCTGAGATCACCAGCTGATCCACAGGAGAAAGACGGGGTTTCTACTGTACAGAGCTACCGTCCCAGAAACTCACAGGGCCTGTCCTATGGGTTGCTATGAGTTGACACTGACTCAATGGCAGTGTTTGGTTTTTGTATTATAAAGTAACCATTTTGTTGTCATTGTTAACCTGAGCAGCTCTATCTCAAACTTGAACTAGGCTGGAGATCCCAGACCAAGCTGAAGAGAAATCGCATAAAGTGAAAGTGTTCTGGAATCGAGAGAGAATAAGGTAGTAGAATTTCAGTACCATTCATTTCCTGCTTTCAGTGGTTGCCTCTGACTAGTTTCCAGTTTCGAGGGAATAACTCTTTCCGGGAGTGAAGGGGATGCAGGGGGTGGGGAAAGAATGACAACACTCTACCTTCACTGTAATTCATTAGGCAGTGAGTGAGTCAGCCCTATCTCCACAGCTGCGTGAGAGCCTTCAGGAAAGTCTGCGTAGAAAGCCCTGAATAACAAAACTGAGAAAGCCTTGCCTACACGAAGTCAGAAACTACAGAACTCAAGGCTCATCCAATCAACACAGAACAGCAATCCCTCTCTCGGGGAATGCCTGGGAAGGCAGGCCGAACTACAGAGAACAAAATCAAGGTCCAACCCAGGTTCCTCTTTCTCCCTGTGGTTACACCCAACGCGGTTCTAGCAGCACGCCAGTTGCTAAGCAGGAATGCATTTCCCGCCTGGGAGATCCAGAATCTTTTCTCCATGGAGGCCCTCTAGGGAAATTGGCGTGCTGGGGCATCAGATGAACTTTCCCAGAGTCTAGCTTCCAGCCCTAGGTCCCAGTAGGCCTTTCTTTCCCCGCCTTCGGTTGCCTTAGCCCAACCACAAGAGGCCACACTGAGGGACAGCCTGGGGGAGATGGGACATCATAAGGAAAACCTGCATATGCTGACACCCTAGGGCTGGAGGACAGACCAGAAGCCCAAGAAAGAGATCTACTTCTGGCTCTTGCCCTTTGAAATCTCTTTCCCTTTGGGCTTCTCTCCCTGCATTATTTTTTCCTCGCAGGATAAATTCAGGGATAAAAGCCATCCAACAGTAATCCCTTTAGGTATATGTAATGTAGCAGGACATGTATTATTAATCTTGTCTTGCAGATGAAGAGACAGAGGTCAAAGACATACAGTTGAGCTACCCACAAAAATAACAGAGACAGAACCAAGGAAGAAGCCTGGTGGAACCCCATGAGATGGGCTGGCCCCATTGGCAGGCTTTTGAGCACTAACCAAATCACCACTGCTCCTCCCATCCCAGCCCCTGATCTAGTCTGCTAGACAGTTACAAAGGCCTGAACTTGGGAACTCCAAGACTCACTGTCCGGCCAAGCTAATAAACCCAGGCACCCTCATAACACACTAGGAGACATCACGAAGCTCCTGGTGACAGAGCAACTTTTTGAATGCCAGTAAGTCACTGTTGTGGGTCAATCACAAATCCTATCAATGACGAAAGGGAGAGGAAAGAAAGGGGTGGGGGGAGAAAGTTGGGAGGGAAACAGTTGTAAGACTCTTACAAGCCTAACAAATAATGTCAGGCATTTCTGTAGTGCCAGACAATCCTGTCACAAATAGTAACTCAGAAAAAGAGACCTATCAGTCTGGGGGCTGCCGGGGAAGTAGTGGCACAGACAACGGCTGGCAAAGTGTTTAGACTAGAGAATTACCCACAAAACCAAAAAGTGACTGACCATGAGTAAACTGCGAGTTCAAAGTGCCAGGCAGAAGTGAACAGAAGGGGGATAGGTGAAAAGAGAAGAAACTGGGATGAAACGCAGCAGTGAGAGAAAGACGAACTTCATGGAAAGGAAATCTAGAAAACACAAGGAAGATCATGGATTCCCGATCCATATGCCGCTGCCTTGGACATGGCTCAGCCTGCCCGTCCTATGAGTCAGGACTTACTCAAGAGCAGTGAACTCGGAGATTCTGATACTTTTCCTGTGCGTGAGAAGGGGAAGGAGGAGAGGAGTCAGGACACTTTGATTTGAGTCCTAAGCCCACCCCCACCCTCCTTGTCCGCCTGAAAAAGTCATTTCCTCTCTCTGGACTTCCTCATCTGAACAATAGGGAGCCCTTAAGACTTGCGTCGGGGTCCACACTCCTTCAGGAAAAGCAAAATAAAAAAATAAATAAGAGTGGTAAAGGGAAACAGGTTTATGGTCACCTTCAAAATTTAGGTACAATTAATCGCGCTGTAACTACTGATACTGGAACGCTGCAACCATCACTTCTCTGGCACTTCCTAAAGCATGAGACTTGAGTGGGGGAAATACAAAGGCCCTTTCGGAACTCCTACTGGCGGCCACCACTGCACCCTCAAGAATCGGACGTACACTCGCACAGGTGTAGACACAGCCTGACTCGGGCTAGTTCCGCAGACGGGGCACTCGTCTACACCGACATCTCTCCAGAGCCAGGCATGCCCCAGCAAGCGGGCCTCACACGTTCCAGAGGAAAGGGAGTTTACAAAAGAAACAAAAACTCTTCGTCGTTCCCGGGCGGGGGTGGAGGGGAGGGCAGAGGAATGGCTGTGAAGAGCCCAGCCAACCAGCAGCCATCTCCTCCCTTTGGGAATAGTCCCTCTGTCAACAACACTATTAAGGCCTCCCAAGGTAATTTATTCTAGAAAGAAACTCTAACATGTGGGGCTCGGGGACATTTCAGGGGTCAACGTTTGTCCCTTCTGTTGCCCGACACTCGTCGGGGACAACCAATGCAAACTCGACCGTCAGGTGAAACTCTCCAGGGAAGCCAGGGAGCCAAGAGCCTTGCGCCGCTCGCCATCTCGATTCCATTTTCTCTGAGGACCCCTTAAGGGGCACAGCACCCAGGAGCCAAGGGAATCAGTCAGGGGGAGAGGCTCCCGGCCCCTCGGGAGTCGTTTGTGGCTGTTGGGTGCGTTCTGCAGCGGCTCACGGCCGGTCCCGGGAACTGAGGGGGGAGGGGGCCGGTTGGATGGACGAGTTCGGGAAGGGCTCCCACGCCCACCAGTCCTCCTCACTATGCGGGGGGGGGGGGTGAAATCAGCCCTCCGGGTTATTTTTAGAAGGGGAGACAGTCCCCCACTGGAGCTGTGCGGTCCGAGCAGCTCCCTCCAGTGGGCGAAAGGTGGGCGAGGTGGGGTGGGCGCACCATACCGGTGTGGGGGAGGGGAGCCCAGCCAATCACCAGGTGTGGGGGAGGGGATGGAAGAAGGGGACGACTGTAGGGGGGCGACGAGGACAATGAGGGTGAGGCCGGAGGGTTTCCGAACTCCTCCCCTCCCTCGAGCACTAGGCGTGGGGAGCGCCTCACTCCAACTTCTGACCCGACCTACAAATTCCTCCCCAAACTCCGGGAACTTACACAGGGTCGCCAAAACGAAGAGAAGCAACTGTTTCCTTTGGACTCTCGCCTTTGTCCCCATGACGATAAGGATTCCGATGCGCCAGCCGGAGCCCTAGGAACAGACACCGCTGCTGGCAACGCAGCGCCCGCACTGAACTCCGAGCCGCCAGGTCGAGCCCCTCCCAGCCCTTCCCGCCCCGTGCGATTGGTCGGCTCCTCGCCCTTCCACATTCTGATTGGTGAGGGGAGCTGCCGCTCCGACGAGTTATTCACCGCAGACAGGTGCGACTCCGCCTTCTAGTCCCCGCAGGACCCAGTGGGAGCCGGTCCAGTGGGAGCCGCCTCTGATTGGCTCAGGAGACTCTCGCGTACGGAGCGAATTCCTCACTTTCGGCAGGTGAAAGCACCCTGGTTGGGCAATGCTCCTGAAGTAGGGACTTTCTCGCCGGCTGCATTCTGAACTGAAGCTGGAGGACTTGAGAAATCCCTTAAAGGAGGAGATGTGGAAGGTCGTGGTGCTGTGGGAGTCCACAGAGAAAGGATGGATTTTGCTTTGGGTTGTTCATTGCCGGATGCAGGTCCTGTTTGCAAGTGGAAAGCACACTGACGTGGGAACGAGAGGAAACGCACAGGATGGTCTAGGATAGGATGCAACAGGTAGGAGAACACCACTGCAAACCGTGTGCCTCCCGGCTGACTTCAACTGCCTATTCTCTGCTTTTGAGAGTTAGGCAGCTCAGAGAGGAGAAAAGTGACATCTCAAAGTGACATCTTTGCTTTTTAACCCTCAAGGGACCTTGAAATTTTGGCCTGTGCGTTACATCCTATGGTCCTTTGGCTGCTGTTTCCATGAGCATTTGATTATAGATCAAAGTAAAATGAAATACTTGAAAACGTCATTCATTTATTCATTTATCTTGATGTTTATTGGCCAAATTGTGAGGCACTTCGTTTTCTTTACACTGAGTTACGAACTACATTTACATTCATCCACACTGAATCCTGTATTCTTTGCTCTTCATCATTAAGTATGTCAAGTCCACTTTGAGCAAGAACGGTTGTGTCATCTACATATCGCAGGCTCCAGTGAGCCTTCCTTCAATCCTGATGCCAGGTTCTTATTCATCCAGCCCATTGAATAAGTATGGTGGATGAATACAACCTGAGGAGCCCCTTTCCTGGTTTTAAACCATCCAGTGGCCCCTGGTTCTGTTCCAACGACTGTATCTTGGACTATGCAGACTCCATAGGAGCACAACAAAGTATCTGGAACTCCCATTTTTCCCAATGTTATCTGTAATTTGTTAGGATCCACAAAGTCAAATGCCTTTATAAAGCACAAGCAAGCATCTTTCTAGTCTCTGCATTCAAGATAAATCTGATAACACCAACGATGTCCTTCATTTCACATCCTCTTGAATCGAGCTTGAATTTTTGGCAGCTCCTGCTGGAATCGTTTTTAATTATCTTCAGCAAACTTTTACTTGTATGTGATGTTATTCAATAACTTTTGCACTCTCTTGGGTGACCTTTCTTTGGGATGGGTACAAATATGGATCTCTTCCAGTCAGTTGGCCAAGTAGCTAGCTGTCTTCCAAATTTCATGGCATATACTAAGTGCTTACAACACTGCATCATCTAAAAACATTTCAATTGAGAGTCTGTCAATTCCCAAAGCCTATTTTCTGCTACTGCGAAAATTGGATGAGAGTCACATCTGACCTTCCTTGACTACACAAAGGAAATATGGAATCCCAATCCACGAGACCTATTGCCACAAGACCAAGGTTAGACATGCCTCCTCTCTCCAACCACCTTTACCCTGCTCTAACAACAACGATCCTTCCCACAGTACTCTTCTTCTCTGCAGGGTTCAATAATTCACTGCAGTGGCCATATAGAACTCATAAACAATTCAAATAATTATAAAATGTATTAAGGAAACTCTCTCGGAACTCTCCCTGCCATCAAGTCCATGCCGGGTTCCAAAACTGTAACTCTTTACAGGAGTAGAAAGCCATGTCCTCCTCCCTCAGAGCGGCTGGTGACTTCAAACTGCTGACCTGGCAGTTAGCAGCCCAATGAGTAACCACTATGCCACCAGGGAATAGGCAGTAAGGAAACTAACAGCTTACAAAATGTTAAGGATACAGCTTTATATCACAACACCTGTTCTCAGTCACACTGGCAGGCTTTTGTCCCTCTGATCCTTAGCCTCTTGGCCAACTGGCCCTGTAGCCTCTGTTCCATAGGCCAGGTAGGCCACCATTCTGCAATATCATCTCAGTGCTGCTGTTCTGCTCTGTCTCCTGATTCCAGTCCTCAGGCCTCGGTGCCTCTTCCCCGTGCTCCACTGGTGGACTACTTTCTTGAGGATGGTGGAATTCTCTTCCTAATTCCGAGATGTCTCATTCTCACACCACACAGAAAAAGCTGACCAATCCTTGAGTTAGAGCCCTCTCCACTTTATGTACATGTTCCCACCCATTCCCTGTGTGAGAGTTACAAAGAATTTGGATAGAAGTACCATATTAAGCAATTTCACTTCACCATAGCTACTTCTTGAAATGGTTGAATGTCAATCAATTGTTTTGGTAGAGTGACTGGGTGTTCCTTCCATCTTTTTTTCTTAACCTTTTATCAGGATTCATGTGAGGGTTACAAAACAGATCATGACTTTTATGCTTAAACTTTTATACACATTTTGTTTCAGCTCATTCATTTCAATCCTCTCATTCCACTTCCTCCCAATATTTCCTGTTGCCACTTCCCCTTTCCTAACCCTCTGCCCTTGGGTCATGATGCCCTTTTTATCTTAAATGGTTAATTATTCTAACATGGGTTGAGTTCAATTCCGTCTTCTTTTGATGCTTCCTGCGCTATTCATTAATTTGCCATCAATATTGCAACTTAAGGCTTGCAATTTCTCTTCAGTTCTTTTACCTTCAGATATGCTGAGCATGTTCTTCTGTTTTGGTTTTCTAAGTTTTTGCACATGTTATTATGATACTTTACTTTGTCTTCCCCAGCTGCCTTTTGAAATATTCTATTCAGGTCTTTTATTTCATCATTTCTTCCGGTTGCTTTAGCTATTCTACTTTCAAAACCACGTGTCAGAGTCTCTTCTGGCATACGTGTTGATCTTTCCTTCTTTCTTGCCTTTTTAAAGGGATTTTGCTTTCGTCATATATGATGTTCTTGATGTCATCCCACAGTTCATCAAGTCTTCTATCAATGCTCACTATCAATACTCAAAGATTGGTTTTTCAGATGTTCTTGAAATCCAGTGTGATATACTTAAGGTCATATTTTGTTTTTTAAGATCATTTTATTGGGGCCTCTTACAGCTCTTATAACAATCCATACATCAGTCGTATCAAGCATATGTTGCCATCATTATTTTCTAAATCTTAACATTCTATTTGAGCCCTTGGTAGCAGCTCCTCTTTTTACCCTCCCTCCCCCCTCCTGCCCTCGTGACCCCTTGATAAATTATAATGTATTATTATTTTCATATCTTGCACCGACTGCTGTCTCCCCCTACAGTTTCTTCCCCCTCCTCTCCCCACTGGTTTTGATTTTCTTCAGCTTCAACTTGAACTTGCATATGAATGTTGATGGTCTGTTCCAGTCAACCTCTGACCTGGTTTTGCCCAATGATATTGAGCTTCTCCAAACTAACTATATCCCACTGGTATAGTCGATTTGATTCCTCTGCACTCCCTCTGGCCAGGTCCATGTGGATAAACACCATTTATTGTCAGGGGAGGTCAAATGCTCAGGCATTCCCCGCCTGAAGGCAATCAGTTGCCAGACTGCTGTCTCATCGCACCACAGGGGTGGGCCTGTTCCCTGATGCTGGAGCCTAAGGCCATCAGTTTGGTTCCTGTGGGCGGAGTTCACACCCAACTGATAGTGGTTCCTATGGAGACCCAAAGTCTAGTTAAGCTGTTACCAGAAATCTAGGATCCGCCTATCTTGCCGCATGTACACCCCCAATCCCTTCTCCTTCTGTAGTGCATATGTCCCTAGATCACCTCCTCCCATCACTGTAATACCTGTAGCACAACCCTTTCCTGTGACGTATGTCTTCACCTGTAATGTGGGGGCTTGCAC